AACAACAACAACAACAACAACAACAGAAGCTGCAAAAGTTGCTCAACTGCAACACATTTTCAACAACAGCAACATCAACAGCTGCTGCTGCTGCCACGGCGACTGCTACAACAGCAACAGCAACAAGTGCCACATCAACGGCAACAGCAACAATTGCAAATAACGGCTTTCTGTGGCGCACATAACCTCAAATACACACACAAAAACATACTTAAAAACAAAGATAATGAAAGATAAGAGAAGAATAACAATATATATATATATATATATATATATATATATTAAAGTAGATCATCCATCTACATATATATATCTGTTCTCAACATTAAGCTTAAAATTTAAATTAATGAATTTTTTTGTTCTTGTGTTTTATGCTTAAATGTTCCTCATTTACTTTATGTTGTAATACTTTTTTTTTTATTTTTGTGCTTTTTTTTCGGAGGATTTTTTTTTTTTCTTTTTATGTAAAATGTATATCAATATACATATATCGATACTATATTATATAATTTAATATATAGAGAAAAGGATTTTTTTTGTGCTTATCTTTAGGCAAAATAAATATATATGTATCCAGATATACAGTTAGGCGCGTGAATAAGCAAATAGGCTCTAATTTTTTTTTCTGTTTCTGTGTTTCTGAAGAAAAAACTGACGTAGATATACGAGTACCGGATTATATACATATATGTATATCTTTTTTTTTTCATAATTTATAAATCAATTTTTTTTTTATTATAATATAAAATACACATATATAGTTTAATGAAATGTTAGCATGCTCAAGTTCAGGCTGTTCTTACCAACTATATATATATACGATGAAATGTGTGAGAGAGAGAAAGGAAGAGGTAGAGGTAGAGTAAGAGAGAGAGAGAGAGAGAGCGAAAGGCGAGGCAGCTTTTGATGGGCTGGACAAAAATGTTCATCAGACAAAATTACAAAGAAAAAAGAAAACTTATAAGTGAAAAACCTGAATTAATTTTTTTTTCATAGTTTGTAAAGAGAATTTTTTTCATAATTATAAAGATATATATACATATTTTTTTTTTTGAAAATCATTTTTTTTTTGTATGCGTTTAAACAACTTGAGCATGTTACATACACAAACACACACTCACACACACATAAGTACTGACAAAAATTAATTAAAAACAAACAAAAACAAAAACCTTAAATGAAACGAAAAGCACGTGATAAATGCCTGACAAAAGTAAGATGAGAGAAGAAAGGAGATAAATTAATGTTAAAGAGAAGCAAAAAGCAAAGAAACGAAAATTCATTTATGTTAGTGGGCGTGACAGCTTGAGCCAAGTATGAAAAATTGTCGAAGCATTCTCTATTTATATTTTATTTTATTTTATTTAAATTGTCCTTTTTAAGTTTGTATTTTGTTTTTATCTATATATTCAGGCGATGCTGTCATGTCTCCACGCACTATGTAAAACGAAACATGAACTAAGTTTCAATCAATTTCATTTAACCAATATATACATAGATATATTTATGTATGAATAAATATTAACTGCATATTGAGAAATTTGAGATGATCCTCTATGTAAATCTTTTTTTGGTTTCTAGTTTTAAACAAAAATGTGAACAATTTTACTTTGTCGACAAAATTTCTGAAATACATACATTAATCAACAAACATACATATGCACATTTAAAAGAAAAAAGGAAAATTTCAAAAAATATATTTTTTTTCTATATTTTAATTTTGGATCAATGAAATAAATAATTGCAACCACTTTGATTTTCATTTGTTTTATTTTGTTTAGTTTGCAAATTTAAGCATACCCAAAAAAAAAAAAAAAAAAAAAAAAAAAAAATGAATACAAATTGTTAAATAGGAAACAATTCATCATTTTTGCATACAGCTTGGTTGTGCTGAGTACTAAAAAAAATTCTAAAACATCAAAACATTAAAAATAAATAAGCAACAACACGAAGGATACGAAATAACTAAAAGGAAGTCTAAATGCGAATATATATACAAATGCAATTTTTTATATAATAAATAATCTTAATCGTAAAATAAAATTCAAACAGTTACGCTAGGTGGCCGCGAGAAGCATAGAAGAAGCAGAAGCAAAGCAAGACCAAATAGGGAGAAGCTTGACTCGGCGAATCGATAAGTAAAGCGATAGCAAAGATAACTAAAACGGATTAAAATGCCATAAGACTTAAAAGCATACATCATTAGGAAGCTTAACACAAAGAAGCAAAGCAATACAATAAGTAGAAAAAACAAAAAACATCAAACACAAAGCGAGAAGCGAAATGAGAAGTTAAACGAAAACAGAATGAAGCGACTAACTAAATGGAAAATGCACAAGAAAACCACGCAACTGAGGGAAGTAAACCAGAGAAGCCAACAACAGAGAGAAATAGAAGAGAGAAACACAGAAGAGAAGCTCTCGCTGCTTTCTTTCTTTGCTTCTTCTTTGCTTTCAGCTTCGCGCGGCACTCAGACCTAAGCACATTTGGCACACACATACTTAGCAAAAGCAAAGACACCACGACACACACACAGACGGACAGAGAAGGCAGTCGATAACAATCGATATACATAGTTACAAAGTGAATATACTCAACCAATTGTAGCCTTAGCTTGTAATGAAATATCAGATTAATCAACTTAGCACTTAGCGTCTCTCGTCTCGTAAATAGTATTTAGTGTAAGCGCAAAGCAAATTTTTTTTCCTTGTCCAATAAACGATTATCGATTAATTAATGATTAATCGATAGCTTAAACACGTCTCATCAATCGTTCAAGTTAGAAGATAAAAACAAAAATCGTATTTAACAAGATTCTTTTATAAAGAAATTTAACATAAAAAATTTTTTTTTTTTAGAAATATTTTTTTGAGCATGTGCGAAAATCGTATAACCTACTATATATACATAAAAAATCTTATTTTTTTTCGTAGAGCTGATCAATTTTTTTTCACATACTATATTTTATACGATAAATGGAAAAACATATATATAAATATAAATATAGATACATAATTTTTTTTTCACTTTTTGTTTTTAAACATAAGCAGCCAAGCTAATTTTTTCGTATATGTTTTTTTTTTGTGAAGAAATCAAAGCGCAATTAAAATAATAAAAGAATTAAGAAAGAACCCAACAACAGATAATATTGTATACATTTTAAATGTTGTTCGAGGAAAACGAAATATACAACCACATATTTTTTTTTTATATACATAAAAAATATAATATATATATATATTATCAAAGTAAATGTTTAGTGTTAAAAGAATCTTTTTATAATGCATAACAAATCGAAAAACGCATCCAAAAAAATTTTTTTTGAGTTTAGCATAAGTAAAAAAAAGCAAAAAATACATTTTTTTTTTTATATATATTATAAAAAAAAAATTAAAAACAATAAGAATGAAGTGAAATACCATATATATATATATATATATATATATATGTATATTAACGAATGGAACCTCAAAACTGATTAATAAAAAAAAGTTTCTTACGTAAAAACTTAATGAAACCAAATATTGAACCAGGTTAACAAAAATTTTTTTTTTTTTTTTTTTTTTATTAATGTCGTGAATAGCAAATTAAATAAAGCAAATCGAAGACAAAGCGACTTATGGTATTATATATAGAAAAAAAAAAGAATTCGAAATGAAAATTAGAAAAAAAGAAAACAGCAACAACAATAAATTTTTCTTTAATTTATTTTTGTCAACTCTATGAAGATTATTCATTTCGAATTTCTATTTAATGGCATAAGCCAAACGTTCCATCTTATATAGAAATCGTACCGAAATTTTTTTTATATATACACATACATATATTAATATACATAGTAACATTTATATATAGTACATATAAAACGAACTATATACTAACATATTTTTTTCGGCTTAGAAATCGTAGTGCATGTGAAACGTATTTGAAAAACAAAAATACAAAGTTTAATATTAAAACAAAAATTCTGAAAAAAGTTAAAGAACCCGTCAAACTGCTGACAAATGTTTGAGTGCGGAACATGAACTGCCCTTTGAAAGATTTTTTTAAATATGATCAACAACATGAACAAAAACAACAACAAAAACTTAATAAAGACAACAACAAATACACAAGTCAACTGCATAAGCAATATATATAAACTGCATAAATAAAGGAACAAAACAATTTAAAAGAATGTATTCACTGAATAAAAACCGATAAAAAAAAAAAGAATTATATATGTAACTATATACCAATACGTATACAAATAATAAGTAAGAAACAAATATAAAAATTTTAAAACAAAATCCGAATTAAATGCAAAAAAAAAAAGAAACATATACGATACGATAATCTACACTACACACACACACACATAAAGTCATAAACTTGTAACGTTCGTAGTTCATATATATGAAAGTGAAAAGAACAACTTGAATTTTAATTCGTTTATACAAATATATATATATATATATATTGTATGATATATATATATATATTGATATATGAATAGCAGCAGCTAATTGTTGTATTAAGACGTCACATTAAAACCAAGATAAGAACAAATAAACAAAAATATTTAAAATTCAAAATAAAACGCATTTTTTTCAAGTCACAGACCAAAGCTGATAGATACATATGCATTCATATTGTCGCAGATTTGCGTGATATAGCAGATAACGCGTGCTATTTAAAATTCAAAAGAAAACGAATTTTTTTCATCAGATAGCTGCGAATGTTAATGTGAGAGACAAAAGCTGATAGATACGTTTGCAGATTTGCATTAATATTGAATTGGGAGTGCTTCCCATATTTGTGGCTGACGTGAGTTCAATGATATGCCAACATATATTTGCGCAGATAGTGTGTGCGAGTGGCAGACAAAGGCTTTATGTTACGAGAGATGTAGTGCTTGTTATTTGGCGCGTATTTGAATTTGAATTTGAATTCACTTACTTTATTCTTCTACTCCACTTTTCAAGAAATCAATATGGTATATATATATATTTCAATATCAT